CACACACACACACACACACACACACACACACACACACACACACACTTGTGGTGAAAATTACAAAATGAAGACATATTCCGCATTAGTGTGTATTGATGATTCATAAGAAGTGCCTTGTGGGAGTCTGGTGTGGTGGCACACGCCTTTCATCTCAGCACTCAAGAGACAAGTCGGCAGATCTCTCTGAGTTCAAGGCCAGCCTGGTCTACATAGTGAGTTACAGGCCAACAAGGTTACATAGTGAGGCCCTGTCTCAAAGAAAGGAAATGTATTGTGGGAGGGTAAATTCATGTCTTGTTAGACCTATTCTGCTCTATTAAAGTGGACAGATACATAAAACAGGAAAGCATTAGAATAATAAAATACAAGTAAAATATAAATATCTAACTGGACAAGAGCTAAACCAGGAAGTGATGAGTCAATCTGAAGCTTTTTAAGCAGGGATTGAAGGCCAGCAGTGTTATACAGACAAAACTACTTCATTCTAGATAAGTGGTCTGGGGTTGCCCTATTGATTGAAACCAACATAAGCAATGAGAACCATTAGTTAGTTAAAAGCCAGGATTTGCATGAAATCTTCCCTGCCAGTTCCTATGCTTACACTTTGTTGCTAGCTGAAGACGAAGGGAGATGAACATACAGTGTTCATTGGATAACACTGCTCATTGAGATTAACACTGCCACACAGCCTTGAAGCACTTTTAAAGACCTAGTTATTGCCTGGAACCTGAGCAATATTTTTGAACATGCTCTCACTATACTCATCAGTTGGACTGAGGCTTGCCTAGGCTGACCTCTAACTTGTTATTTTCTTGTCTGAGTTTTCTGAGTGCTGGGATTGCAAATATGAACCACCACCATAATAAATAATTTTAGAACCAATAGAAGGTAGGCACAGTGGCACGTGCTTATAATCCCAGTACTTAAGAAGCTGAGGCAAGAGGGGCCAGCCTTAGCTACATATCCAGTTTGAAGCTATTCTGGGCTACCTGAGACCCTGTGTCAAGGGAGGACTCAGGAGAGAAAAACAGTAAGGAAGTAGAGTAGGTGAGAACATTAAAAAAAAAAAAACAGTCTTCTACTTAAATATATAAGCCTAGATTTCAAAATACATTCTCTTCCTAGGACTTGTGATTATTACAAATGAGACATTTTCTGTCATCAAGTTGCTATTTTTAAAGTAGTCTGTTTCTTCTCTGGTGGCTTTTAAGGGAATTTCACTTTGCTTTATGTCTTCTGGATTTTCATTTTCTTCTTGGGTACCAAATTACGCTCTCAACTAATAAATTATTTCAGCTCTGCATTTTCATAGGTTTTATAATTTAAAGACAGATTAATGAATTGGTTGGTTTTTTAATCTATATTCTGCTGACAAGATAGATTCTTAAATTCATACTGAAATATTGAAGTTATGGATTCATGTGCACACATGCACAAAAGAAAGCAGTTGTTGCCGAGCATAATACAAAAGCAAAGTCATATTTAAGGCAAGAAGCACTAGATGTAGTGTTTAAGAAATTCATTTCAGAAATGACTTGGTCATGATTATGAAAAAGAAAATGTTGTCAAACAGGTAGGAAATTATGAACTCCCATCACCTAAAAACACAGCTTTGAAAAATAATACCTGATTTTAACATAATTACCAAAGAAAGCATAAATCAAACAAACAGAGAGTCTCAAGAGGTTCTCAGCTGCCTGTGGCTCCAACTTCAGCAGATCTGATGCCATCTTCGGCCTCCATAGGCTTTCCCTCTACACACATAATAACAGTTAAAAATGCAAAATAAAAGAAATAGAAACGCACAGAACTAATTAAAACAATCTACATATTCATTGAAATCCATATAAAAACTCTAATAATGGGATTTGGGGGAGAAATGAAAAATCCCACCATAAAATTCATATGGAATCTCAAGGGACCCTTTCCAAACAGACAAAACAATCTTGAAAAGAAAGTTGGAAGTCTCATATTCATTAATTTCAAAAAAAACTTACTACTTAAAGAAGCCATAAGATACCACAAATCAAGAAAGGAAGAATAGAAGATGGAAGGAAAGAAAAAAAGGATTGTACAAGTTAATTATTAATCAATAAACAGCAAATGTATAGTAGAGAAAACTACAAATAACTAGAAAATTTCTAGAATGTTACCAGTGGTTAAAGTTAACAAAAACAGTACTGGGACAAAGACACCGTGCAGCTCCCAAGAAAATGCACTGAGAAGGGGCTAATGTCGTCCCTGTGTCTTCCCACCAACACTGCACGGTCTGAACCTGAGGAGGCAGGATCTAACACACCAAGGGGAATGCTTTGAAGTAGAACTGGCCAGACCTTCAAGTCCAGAGTCATGAAATGCAAAGCCTGGTGAACTGCTCAAATTCTACCCACTGCAGAAACTTTGTGAAGTACAACGTAAGATCCTGGGCTGAATCCAGGGCCTGAAAAATATTTTATTTTGCTATAAAAAGACATTGTAGCAACTGGCAAATTATTGGTAAGAGGTATAGGCTAGACAATGAAACTGCATCAATGCCAAGTTGATTTTATAGTTTGGTAATGAAGGAATCAATCCAAAAATAGTAAAGGGACATCATGTACACAATTTACATGGAATCAATAGGGGGGGCATGAAAATAAAATGTTAACATTTGGGGATAATGTGAACAGAGAATACAGTGAACTTTGTATGTAAAGTGTAGAAAGAAGTCCAACAGTGTGAACCTACATCTACATCACAAATTGAAAGTATTTGGAAAACTTAACATAGTTCCTAAACATGTACATCATCTATTTATGTTATCTTGGTATGTATAATTGTGAGATGACAAATTACCCAGAAGGATGTACACAGATGATTTGTGGATCCTACATCATTTTCTTTATTTTCTTTTCTTTTTTTTATTTTTATTTTTTGGTTTTTTGAGACAGGGTTTCTCTGTGTGGCTTTGCGCCTTTCCTGAAACTCACTTGGTAGCCCAGGCTGGCCTTGAACTCACAGAGATCCACCTGCCTCTGCCTCCCGAGTGCTGGGATTAAAGGTGTGCCACCACCACCCGGCTGAATCCTACATCATTTTACACCAGGGACTCCAGCATCCTCAGACACAGAACCAAGGAGCTACCAAGGGACTGCTATATATGAGATTTGTTTGTACTATTTCTTGCAACTATTCTGTAATTCTGAAATTATTCAAAAGAAAAAAGTCTAAATATTAATCTCATTTAAATATGATAAGATGTTAAAATTAAATAAAGCCTACTGGTATGCACATCAAGTTTGGTTATTTTTTTTCTATAGTGGTCTATGTGCTTGAAATATTTCAAAGTGCATTTTAAAATAAATACATTACATATAAATATGTTTGCATATATAAGCCAAACAGGAGTAAGAAGACATCCATGGCATCATCCGGGCAACAATAAATACAGAAAGGGAAAGAGTGCTTAACAATCTCAAGCAACATTGAATGACAGATTCTTAATGTAAAGTACCTTGTCTGCCCAAGCTTTGGTCACTCCAGCCACCAGCCACCTTCAATTTCCATGGTGTTCCTGGCTGTCTCCCAGCTCCAAGCACTGGTTCTCAGTTTCTGCCACACTACTCCAGCCTCTTTCTTGATCCATTCTACCTGTCAGGGTTCAAATGAAGTAGCATTCAGGAAAGGTCATTTTTCACTCTCAAATGCAAGTTGCGTCCCCTTCTTCTGCATGTCCCCAGGGCTCAGTGCTTTTCACAAAATTCAGCGATACTCGTTAATAATATCGTCTTCACTTTCCCACATCTTCACCACCCTAAAAAGTTCCTGAGGACTGGTTTCCAACTAAGATTCCATCAAACCTTGTGTCATGAGCACGTGCTGTTTAATGTCTGATGATCAACAATTTAAATACCAAGTGTTGGAGTTGAATGCTAAGCAACTGAGCACAGAATTCACAAACTTACCTTATAAGAAAATGTAGCCAGTGTTTGAATGTTGATCTTTTTGTCTGAGCATGGGTAAGAAAAAGGAGGGAGATAGCGCGACGTGCCAAGGCCAGCAGCACTTGGTTTAAGCCTTAAACCTTCTTCAATACTTTCACAGCAGCCGCTCTCAGGTTACATGTATTTATACCATTCTTATTAGTTCTGAAAACGTCCCTCCCTTTAAATACTTCTACTGTAAATGATACTAGATCTTAGTGTGAAAGTCATTCTTGAGACCAACTTAAAGCCACAGGCGAGCATGAAATGGGTTTGCCTGCGCGAGTGCAGAAACCCGCTAGGCCTCTGAGCGTCGCTGTTGACCACCTAAGGAGTAAAAGACAGCCAACCAATCCCACTGAAGGGCTGGCACAACACAAAGGGCTGGCGGTTTGTCCGCAGCTTCCGGTCAGAGGATGCAAGGAAATTCAACCCAGCCGCCCGTTAGTTCTCTCTCCTCGGTGACCTGGGACTGGTGAATATTGGTCGTCCCAGACCCTGGGGGATAAGGACTGGACTCCCTCACGGTGCTGGAGGCTGGTTTGGAGGAAACTCGGCTGCAGAGGGGCAATGGCGACGCTGCAGAAGCTGACCCGGTGCAGAATGCTGGTCCTGCTGTGCGCCCTTTGGGCTGCCCTGTGGGAGGCCAGAGCTGGACAGATCCGCTACTCCGTGCCAGAGGAGATCGACAAGGGCTCCTTCGTGGGCAGCATCGCCAAGGACTTGGGGCTGGAGCCCCAGGCTCTGGCAGAACGCGGAGTCCGCATCGTCTCCAGAGGTAGGTCGCAGCTCTTTGCTCTGAACCCGCGAAGCGGCAGCTTGGTCACCGCAGGCAGGATAGACCGGGAAGAGCTTTGCGCCCAGAGCGCGCCCTGTCTGATGAATTTTAACCTCCTATTGGAAGATAAATTGACTATTTATTCCGTAGAGGTGGAGGTAACAGATGTTAATGACAATGCACCTCGCTTTGGAGTAGAGGAGCCGGAACTAAAAATCAGTGAAACGACTACACCAGGATTCAGGATTCCTCTTAAGAGTGCACATGATGCGGATGTGGGCGAGAACACCCTCCAGAAGTATGAACTCAACTCAAATGACCACTTCTCTCTGGATGTGCGAACTGGGGCTGATGGAAACAAGTACCCAGAGCTGGTGCTGGAGCGTGCCTTGGACCGCGAGGAAGAGGCAGTTCACCATCTTGTTCTTGTCGCCTTGGACGGGGGCAATCCAGTGCGATCCGGCACCTGCCGTATCCGCGTGAAGGTCCTGGACGTGAACGACAACGCTCCTGTTTTTACACAGCCCGAATACCGTGTGAGTGTTCCTGAGAATATGCCTGTAGGTACCCGGATACTCACAGTGACAGCCACTGACGCTGATGAGGGATACAACGCTCAAGTGACTTATTTTCAGGAGCAAGCCCCTGGAGAAACTGCAGATGTATTTGAGCTAAAGTCAACATCTGGCGATATAACAATCACAAAAAGTCTGGATTATGAGAACGCTAAATTCCACGAAATCGATATTGAAGCTCAGGATGGCCCAGGCCTTCTGACCAGGACGAAGGTTATTGTCACTGTTCTCGATGTCAATGACAATGCTCCAGAATTTTACATGACATCCGCCACTGCTTCTGTTCCTGAAGACTCTCCTCCGGGAACGGTAATAGCACTTTTCAATGTGCACGATAGGGATTCTGGGCAGAATGCCGTTGTCACGTGTTCACTTCCTGAGAGGATTCCTTTCAAGTTAGAACGCTCGGTGGACGATTACTACCGACTGGTTACAACCAGCGCCCTTGACAGGGAAGAGTTCTCTTTTTACAACATCACTCTAAGCGCTAAAGATGGAGGGAACCCATCTCTGTTCACAGATGCCTACCTTCTACTGCAGGTGGCAGATATCAACGACAACCCGCCCTCCTTTTCCCGGGGGTCCTACTCCGCCTACATTTCTGAAAACAATCCCAGAGGCACCTCCATCTTCTCAGTGCTGGCCTATGACCCTGACAGTAATGACAATGCCCATGTAACCTACTCTTTAGCTGAAGACACCTTCCAAGGGGCACCCCTGTCCTCCTACATCTCCATCAACTCTGACACTGGAGTCCTCTATGCTCTCCGCTCCTTTGACTACGAGCAGTTCCAAGACTTGCAGCTGCGGGTGATAGCAGTGGACAGCGGGAACCCTCCACTGAGTAGCAATGTGTCCTTGAGCCTGTTCTTGCTGGACCAGAATGACAACATGCCTGAGATCCTTTATCCTGCCCTCCCCACAGACGGGTCCACTGGTGTGGAACTAGCACCCCGATCTGCAGACCCTGGCTATCTGGTAACCAAAGTGGTGGCAGTAGACAAAGACTCAGGACAGAACGCCTGGCTGTCCTACCGCCTGCTCAAGGCCAGCGAGCCAGGGCTCTTCTCGGTGGGGCTGCACACAGGCGAGGTGCGCACTGCCCGGGCCCTGCTGGACAGAGATGCCCTCAAGCAGAGCCTGGTGGTGTCTGTTCAGGACCACGGCCAACCTCCTCTCTCCGCCACTGTCACACTCACCATAGCAATAGCTGACAACATCCCTGAAGTCCTGGCTGACCTGGGCAGCATCAGGACCCCTGCCAACTCTGATGATTCCGAACTTACACTCTACCTGGTGGTGGCGGTGGCTGTGGTCTCCTGTGTCTTCCTGGCCTTTGTCATTGTGCTGCTGGCGCTCAGGCTGCGGCGCTGGCATATGTCCCGAATGCTTCAGGCTTCAAGAGATGGATTAGGGGGCATCCCTGCCTCACACTTTGTGGGCGTGGATGGGGTACGCGCTTTCCTGCAGACCTATTCCCATGAAGTCTCACTCACTGCAGACTCGGGGAAAAGCCACATCATCTTCCCTCAACCAAACTATGCAGATACTCTCATCAGCCAGGAGAGCTGTGAAAAAGCTGATTTCCTTTCAGCACCTCAGTCTCTACTTGATGATAAAAGAGAAGAAAGTCCTCAGGTAATTGTTTTGCAATATACTCACATTGTTTTGCTAAATTTTACCTATTTATTTAGTTGCCCCAGGTGTTTAATATGTGTGTTTTATACCCGTGTTTCCTTGAAGATATATTTAAGTTTAAGTGAATCCAGGTGAACTATTCCTAGGTAGTTTTTAGTGCTCATGGGCTATAAGGAAAGTTAAAAATCATTATGGAATGAACAAAAATCATGGATTAGTAGTTAATGGTAACATTTAGATCATCAAAAGAATACTGTTAGAAACTGGGCTGGTTTCTTAACTTTTCCATCTGTGGGACAACCATTTCATGTACATGAATCAATGATTCTTTTTAAAAACAGAAACGTTAGGGCTGGTGATCACTGTACCTGCCTAGTATGCACTGGGCCTTGAGGTGGGTTCCCAACACAGCAATGTATGTATTATATAATGTGTGGGGGCTATATGCAATGCATACATGGGATTTTATATTAATTGAAGACTCTTCTTTAAAATGTAAGGTCTGCTTATATTTGGATCTGTGTGTGAATCATAAAACATCTTGGTTGATTCTTTCGCACTTGATCTTAATATTTCTCCTTCAGATTTTCAGAGAAGTTGCCCATTTTCCTTAATTTGCATACCCATACCTGTTTTTAATGAAGAAATTTTATCTGGGCACGGTGGCACACACCTCTAACCACTGTGCTTGGGAGGCAGAGACAGGCAGATTTCCGTGAGATCTAAGTCAGCCTTGTCTCCATAGCAAGCTCTGGGACAGCCAAGGCTACAAAGTGAGACCCTGTCTCAAAGACAAAAAAAAAAAATTACAGAAGCACACATTTTTCAGTGCTAGGGACCAAGCTCATGGCCTTGCATACCATAGGTAGGGCACTCTCACACCGACCTGCATCTCGAGCCCAGGTGTCTTTGTGTATAAGTGCTGTATATGGAAACAAACCGAGGCCTCATTTTGCGCATGCCTTGCCAATGAGTCTCGCCTCCATCCCTAGGTTCCTTATGGAGTTTCCGTATGCCATGGTGTCTCTGCTTAGCTGCAAACAACAGTCTCTGGAGGTAGCTCCGTGCTCCTTTGGAGCTCATTGTGCTCTCGATGACAAATTGGTAAAGGAACAGAAAGCAGGTTTCTCTTCACCGAAACTTCATTTTTCTCATATCTGGAAATCATATTGACTTTTTGATCTTGAAAAATAATTCTTATCCTCGGTATACTTTGCTCACAGAAAAGATAGAAGGGATTCAAAAGCCATAGTATCACACAATTGCTGTTTTCTCCAAGTTTCCTATTCATCAAATGCCAAAAAATGTTCCCATTCAAAAACACTTGGTTTTCCTTCTCCATTCCTCCTGTGTTGGTATTAGTGTGTTGATCATATACTTAATAACAATGGGTGTGCTAATAGTAAGAATCAGTTTGTTTTTATTTGGAAATATTGAGTACTAATTGAAACTCGTACTGGGTAATTTCACATCTCCTATGGTGTTTGGGGTCCTTCTTACGTCTAAGAGTGTCTGATAGAAAATTGGGGGCAGTGTATTCCATGTGTTTGTTAGTACAGCATAAGTCTCTATGAGATAAAATCCAAATTCACTTTGGAATAGTGTGTCATGGTATCTTTACTTTTAAGAATATAATAAAGTATGAACAGAAAAAATTAAAAACAGAGTTCCTTTTAA